TCTTTCCCTCCGTGTCCCCAATGGATTCTTTTCCTGTGCCCCAATCTGTATCGACCTCCTCAGCCACCCATGGTTTACCTTTGGGGCCCAATTACACATCTGGAGTTCCAGTTATGAAAGTCTAGATTTTATTTTGCCCATCTGAGCTATCTGAGGTATGTACTGCGAGCATCGGAACAAGTTCCAGATCTTAGTCATGACAGAACAAGCTGAGGTAATTTCTTAGAATGGAATATGTTCAACATATCATATAATCTTCCACCACATCTTGAATACGCTGTTTCCTCCTCTGTTAGAGCCAAATTCTGCTGACTGTAAATACACGGAGGGGCAGGGTGAGAATGGTTAGTATGGTTTTTGTTTGGTCACCACTCCACACAGAAGGGGGGCGGGACCAAAGCGATCACGTCACCAAGGAGAGGAAATATTACATGCTTCCTGTCTTGCAAGAACAAGTGCCTTGACAGAAACCATGACATACTGTTTCATTGTTTCCTTCCTTAAAAAACAAGACAATAAATAGGCATTTGGGGGTTGGCAATGTTTTCAGCAGTCTTTTGATAAAATTAAGCATGCAGCACATACATATTCCCACATACCATATTGCCCGCACATCTATGCACACACAAAACAATTTATATTACAAAGAAACATATACGTCAAAAGTACAGTTCTAAGAACTTTCTAATGGTCTCCCAACAACCTTCTCAAAATATCTCCACAGATTTCGATGACATTCAAATATATTCTCTGTTTCAATGACAATCTTTTTTCTTTAAAGACTAACTTCATGGACATCACTGAAACACAGGCAAATCTCAGTCTTATGAAGTCCAGCAGTTTACACATGACTGAACAGTGGAGTCCATGAAGTTATTCTTCAAAAAAAGGTTGTGATCAAAATGGAGAATATACTGGAACTTTGTAGAGATCTATGGGGATACTTTGCTTTGGGTTTAAGAATATGAATATTACTAATAACAACTTAATTTATAGCCTACCTTTCTCATTGAGACTCAAGGTGGATTACAAAATATGGCAAACAATTCACTCAGACGGGCAAAGAACTCCAATAAACAATGCAGCAGTACGAGGATTACAGAAAGGGGGGGACCCACCTGTTTTAAGCAACAAAAACCATTGACTATACTGTTTATCTACCTATCACATTTTTATTCCACCTGTCATCCAAGGAGTTAACTTCAGTGTATGTGGATCCAGGTGGGTAGCCGTGTTGGTCTGAAGCAGTAGAACAAACTCTTAAGTGCAGTGGCGCCTTGAAGACCAAGTTTTATTCTAATGTGTGAGCTTTAGTGTGCATGCACACTTCCTCAGACATGTGGTTTGCCCTTCTTCCATTTTGCCTGTCCGTTTTAAGAGCAACAACCCTGTGAGATATGTTAGGGTAACAGAAAGTCAACAACCCTGTGAGATATGTTAGGGTAACGGAGAGTGGGCTAAAACCATCCAGAGAATATTGTGTCTGAAGTAAGGATCTGAACCCGGATCGCTGAGGTCCAACCACACTGGCTCCTTATATTTTTGCAAAATACCATTTTGCATGTAAACCGATACGATTAGTACAATATGTGGATTTTCTTTTACTCTGTGCTGACTGTTTAAGATTTTTATGGGGTTCCAACTGTTTTTGTGTGGTTTTCTAACATTGTCATCTTTCGTATGTTCAAAGGATGTTAGAACCACAAATTTGTTTATTGTTCCACAGGCAGTGGTTGGTACTATGGGTGATAGACTGATCTCCCAATTCAATTTGTACCCGTTGATAATAAGGCAGAGTAAAATATATATTTTCTGTTGGTTTGAGAGCTGGTGTGGTTGGCGTGCTGAAATGGGGCAATGCAAGGTCAAGTCCCCGCTCAGGGCCAAACTATAAGCTATGTTTGTCTCCAAACTGGCCAGTGGCCACAAGGATTTTCGGTCAGATGCTGTTTTGTGAGTTCCCCACTGGAAATACAGCTTTGAGGCATACAGGGACCAGCATTCAGATTGGGACCATGAGGAGAAGGGGGTGGGGCTCAAGTTTTCCCTTTCTGCCATTTTCTAAGTCTGAAACATCCCCAAGGAACTTTCCTTTCTCCCAAAGGACTGTACATGCACTGACAGGTTATTTGTACAGTCCCTAATGCGACAAATAGTGGCTCCCTGGATCTGTTCCAGTTTGGGAAAATGGTGTGGGGGAAAGACATAAGCACCCTCTGTTCATGTGCCATGGTTCTGATCAGGGGTCATTTCGTAGAAAAAGAGCTAAGGGAACTCATTAGCATAACTCATTAGCATATGCCACACCCCCTGACATCACCGGATGTGTGTCATAAGGCCACACCCCCTGACATCACACTGTCATAAGGCCACACACCCCTCCCTGGCCCCAGGCAGGGGTGGGGAGAGGCAGGGAGGAAGCAACTTACCCCCCCTCTTCTCCTTCCTCCTCCTGGCTGAATGAGGGCCGGAAGCGGGGCGGCCGGAAGCAGGGGGCGGGCCTTCGTCATGTGCCTCGCCCCCCGTACCTCACCCGGGGGAACTGCGATTCCCCACGATTCCCCCGAAATGACCTCTGGTTCTGATCCAAATTGGGCCTTGCACACCTGGGAGCTGCAGTCCAGGCAGGGAACTCAGAAGAAGAAGAAGAAGAAATTGGTTTTATACCCCACCCTTCACTACCCAAAGGAATCTCAGAGCGGCTTACAAACTCCTTTCCCTCCCCCTCCCCACAACAGACACCCTGTGAGGTAGGTGGGGCTGAGAAGGTGGGGGTGAGAGAGCTCTGACAGAAACTGCTCTTTTTCAAGAACAGCTGTGCCAGAACTATGGCTTGCCCAAGGTCATCCAGAAGCTGCAAGTGAAGGAGTGGGGAATCAAACCCGGTTCTCCCAGATTAGAGTCCGCGCACTTAACCACTGCACCAAACTGGCTCTCACACCAAACAGGAGCTCTGGCTGAAAATCCTTGTGACTCACTTTGGGTCCTCACCAAATGATTCTGGACCAATCACTTTCTCTCTGCCCAACCTCTATCACAAAGGATAAAATGGAGGGAAGAAAACCCCTGCATGCCTCTTGGAGTTCTTGAGGAATGCAGGTATTTAAAAAAAAAAAGAGCAGAACATATTTCAAAATATAATCAAATATTTTATAATATATAAATTATATATATAGGTGATGTAGTCCATGGGGACTCGACTGTGTGACTGAACCACAACAAGAACATGTATTTATTTGTAGTATACTTTTCACACGGAGACTCAAGGCAGATTACAAAATATTAAAACAGTGCAATAAAAACAACAGAACACATACAATAAACAAAGCAATTCAAGTTATTGCGTCTCCACAAGCATCACTTTGTTGCGCTACACAGCAGAGTGAGGATTCAGGCCTGGGTCTCCTGCCTCCTCACATGTTACAATTTTGACAAGCCCACATGAAAGCTTCTTTATTAATAACCATCATTCCTGAATAAAGATTGAAATGGATCCAAAAATGAAATTTGTCTAACTTTTATTGTTTAGTATTTATCTGAGCATGAAAACACCACCCTGCCCTCTATAAAACACCACACTGTACAGGCCATAGTAGAAATTTATTGAACAATTTCTTATCCCACCCTCCTGGGGGACACAGGGTTTGAACTGGGGGCACAATTAACTCCTCCATTTTATCCTCATAACAACCCTTTAAAGGTAGGTTAGGCTGAGAGAGAATGAGTGGCCCAAGGCCACCGAAAAGAAAAGGCAGGGCATACATAATCTTAATAGAATAAGTAAACACAAATTCTAGGGCAAGCAGGAATTGGAACCCGGGTCTTAATCCTGCACTCTAACCACCAGAAAAGATTTCAGGAGGCTCTCCCCCCTCCCTTCCCTCCATTCGTATACATCATGGGCTGGAAAGAGGAATTCCCCACTCTGGACTGGGGCACCCATCCATCGATTACGAGCCAGAATTCTCCCACCTGGAAAATCCCTCCAGAGGTTTAGCGGGTAGGCGGGGCTTCGAGTCCTGCGCGTCAGCCGCGGAGTTTATAAAGGGGGCGGGGAGGCGGTCGGCCGTAGAAGTCGGCGGGTCTCGTAATGGGGCAGGTTTTTGCCAAGCTCTTGAGCATTTTCGGAAGCCGAGGTAGGCGCCTCTCTCCTCCTGCTTTCTGTTATTCTTGCCCAGGCTGCTCCCCGTGGGCACTTCTGTTTGCCGCTCCGGAATTTCACCTCCTTCGACTTTCTTTGGTCGTTCCATCTTTTGGTTCGACTTTGCATGTTTTCCTTTTCCCCCCTTTCAAATGCGACTGGGCACGGTTTTCTCCTCCCTTTCATCTTTGGATTCGTTTTCCCCTCTACTTCTGTTTTCTCTTTCAGTCCTCTTTTCTTCTATTTTCTCGCCTTTCGGGGCTTCTGGTTTGCTGCTTCGTCCCCCCTTTGGAATATTTCTTTTAACTTTTCCCCTCCAGTTACTTGCGCACACAAACTTCCTCCCCCCGTGTCGCTTCCCCCTTATTTTTGCCTTCCTCACCCTGGCAGCAACCGCAGTACCTCCGAAGAGCAAGCGACCTTGCGATTTCTCCAGAACTCCTCGGACAGCCAGGGGTCTTCGTCGGCCCAGTTTCCCTTTTCTCTTTGCGTTCTTTTCTTTGGAGATTTCCTTTCCCAAGTTTGCATTTCTACTGGGAGATTCCCCCCCCCCCTTCACCCCTCGTTTTCCCCTTTTCCCCCCTGTTCACTCTCCCCTCTTCTCCTTTCAAGGAACTAAATGCCATATGGGAGGGTGACACGGGTGTGTGTGTGTGTTGACCTTTTCTGCAGGCCGGGGGAGGAATGGCTTTTGTGCGGGAGTGGCTGTTTCAGGCCAGCTTGTGGGTGTGAGGATGTGTCTTCTCTCTGTGATGTGTGGATTGTGAGTCTGTGGGGAGACGCTGCTGTGTTTGCACGTGGGGATGGGGAAATAGAGGGAGGGGAGCACTTCTGTGAGCCGGCGTTCCACTCCCAAGTAGCCCTTTCGAAAAGTGCTTTGCGCATTCCTCGTTGGCTTTGTTCTAGGAGCAGAACCTGAGTCTGCTCCCCGCCGCAGAGGAGCGCATCCTTAGGGCAGGGAGTGTGTTGACGTTGGAAGTTGTTCTGGGAGTCGGGTTAATTTGGGACTGTCTGGCAAGAACAAAAGGCGGAATCGGGGGGCGGGCCGAATGGGGTGTGTGCCTGTTGCGGGGCTGGAATCTGCAACAGGAGACTGGAGACAGTTTTGTTCTAAGGGCTGTGAACAAAAGCCGAGTCAGATTGAGATCTTAACTCGAGGGGGTAGAAGAAATCAGTCTTCTCTTGGTCTCCTGAGTGCAGATTGCTATTGTAGCAAACAGCAGTGGGTCTGGAGGACAGACATTTTAGAATATTTGGCATCTTCAGCTGGTTTGTTTTGGTCTGAAGTGAAGTCACGCTATGTATGGGGGGGAGGGGTGCAGAGGCTCTGTTAGGGGTTTAGATGGGGGTTGTAAGAATTATTTTCCATTCCTTGATCTCCTAAACAAAACAGCCCAGGCTGGAGGCCTTCAAAAAGACCATGGGTGGAAGGATGAAGCCAAAAACACCTGTATGTGTGTTGGATACTGTACACACGGAGTCCTACGATCGCTCTCAGATATGTATATACGCATACACACAGGCAACATAAATGCACACATGTGGGAAGTGTTCTCCCAAGTTTGCACTTTTTCACAAGTAGCATACACATGCCCATGTGTATTTACCTATTTAAAACAGTTATTGCATTGCCACCCTGTCTTTTCCCCTAACTGGGGACACAAAGCAGCTTACATTGTTCACCTTTCCTCCATTTTTTAAAAAAACTTTCTATTTTAACATTTTTTCCAGAAAATTCTAAGCAGCAAGTACATGATACGTTAACAAGAATATAAATGTATTACACAAGAAGGTTGAGTGCAAACATTATGAGTGGCTATTTAACAATTTAAGTAATAAAGATGGTGGCTTCACCATATGATTCTGTCTGCTGCCCTAGTCCAAGTGTTAACACTACACATTGAAATAGGCATACTCTTAAAATAAGGCTATGAAACTCTAGTTGGTTGGAATTGCCACGTCCAGATTATTCCTATTGGTCACATACTTCAGAAAGGGAATCTATTCTAGAAATTTAGATTGATACTGTGGATTCTCCATAGTCAATAACTGGTCTGAATCCCCCACCTCTCCCCCCCGTTATAAAGTAGTACCAAAGGTTCTTGTACCATAGAGTGTTGGTGTTTCTTTATTCTTCCATTTAGTCATGATCAAGCCCTTGGCTGCTATCAAAATTTTCCTCCATTTTATCCTCACAAGAACCCTGTGAGATGGTCCAGTCACACACTCTCTGCCTAACCTAAGATCACTCTACAAACTTCCATGTTAGAGTGGAGATTCGAACCTGGGTCTCCCAGATCCTAGTCTGATACTGTAACCCCTGCACTATGTTAGGTATATTGTTGTGTCTGCCTTTCTCCTGAGATTCCCAAGACACTTATGGGAATATACAGAACAATACACATACGGGTACACTTTATGCCACGTGTTCTCAATCCTACACTCATGTGTGTGCCAGTAATCTAACACAGAGATGTGCCCATTCACGCCTTTAACACACGTTTGTCCTAATCCTGTGAAAGCAGCGGGCATGTGGAGACATGTGTGCACAGAGAAAGGTTGTACTGGTTGTGAAAAAGCTTAATGTGTGAGAAGGGCATGTGTAACCCCGTGTTGCCCAACAGGAGTTCCCATGTGTCCCGAGCTTATGCATTAGTCATTGTTTATGAGACAACGCTGTGCCATGGAGGCTGGTCACTGCTGTTGCCACAGTTCTGTGACTCAGGACATTGTACCTGCACAAATTATGGTTTGCACTGCTCTGTTGTGATCTTGCCAGCAAGTATTTGCACATGAATTGGTGTGTCAGCGCCTTTGACAAGCACTCAAACTCTTGCACTTGAAAAAAGAAACTAGATGTGCACGAATTAACAGGCAATCTTTCATAAACCAGCGTTTCTTCCCCAAAAGACCCTCATCAGAAGCAGTGTGGAGTCTTTCTCCCCCCAAAACAAGCATACATACCACTTCTGATGTCTGGAACCTGAGAGAGTGGCTGATGTAGCCAATTGTGTGAGGTTGACTAGGATTTGTTTCTGGCATCTGGGAGAAAAAAAATCTTCCATTGTGTTTCTTTACTTTTTAAATAGGACTTCCTTCCTTCTATACAATGCAATTTTAAAAAATCTTTTCATCTGATGAAGCTTGCCAAGTTGTTTTGGGGGGGGGGTTTTGTAGAGAGGGAGCTGCAGGGGGGGCTGGGGGGGTTCTTTACACTGAAAAGCAGTTACTGCCTGATCTGACTACCACCATAGAATAAGGGCATTGTGACATTGGTCCTGCAATTTAAAATAGGCTTTTCCTGAGACTTCTCATGAGCGAAAACTTCACAGTTTTTTTTTTAATGGTTTGTAGGAACCTCAGCCCTCAACCTCTGCCACAAGTTGTTTGTTTTGCAAATTCCTCTGTGGGCTCAGTTTACAGTGTCCGAGGCTGGCATGCAAGGGAAATGATATTCTGTTTTTATCTGATTTTTGCTGACAGATAGAAAGGCCTTTAAAGGCTTGGGCTGTTTCTATGTTGGTTTCTGTATTGGTTTGTAAAATTGGATGGAAGAAAATAACACGACTTAGCGTCTGCAGAGCACCTTCAGCTCAAAGAACTTCACGGTAACCCTTAACAACAGCCTTAGAAGGCAGGCCACTATCATCCCTGTATTGCAGATGAGAGCCAAGTGAACATGGGACGGTTCATCATGGAGATTTCTTTTTCTGCAAGGGCTGCAAGAAGCCCCTGGAGAATTTGGGAGCTTGGGATGACATCATGCCCCATCTGGCCCAGTTTGCCTGGATCCTTTTGAGCAGGCTCAAAGGGGCAGCTGTTGGATGGCTGCAGACAGAACATCCATCTATATCCTCTGCCCACATTTCCTCCCCCTTTCTTTCAGCCCTTTAAGGGACTTTTTTCCTTTCCCAGTTAAGCAGAGTGGCGTAGTGGCAAAAGTAAACCTCCGCCCACATTTCCTCCCCACAACTGCTCTTGCGCTGTGCTTTTGCATGTACCCAGCAGAGGGAAATGGGGGGAGGATCAGGGAGGGGGGTGGCAGCAGTGAGCACAGCCAGGGTGGGGATGTGCAGACGCAGCTGTTGTCCTCCTTGCAGATATGCTTGGGCCACATTCTCCCCTCCCATCTGGAATCCTAGTGAACGGGTGGCTGATAGGGGTGTGCAAAAAAAAAAATTGGCATTTTTTGGATTTGGGTAAATTGAACCCAGTACTCCCAAATCCCAATACTGGTACGGTATTCGGATTCAGTAAATATTTGGGAATCCCGATTTTGGGGAGCTCCATTATGTTCTATGGACAATTATCCTCAGTGGTTCCCATTGGGTAATGGAGAATCGATTCAAGGGCATCTGGGGCTGGGGGGGGGCTTTTTTTGAAGTAGAGGCACCAAATTTGCTGAATAGCTGCTGGTAAGGTGTTTAAAGGGTTCGTGGTCCCTTTAGATGCCTTCTCAAAGCTGTGAGGGAACTCCAAAGGCATTTAAAAAGCTCGCAGTCCCTTTAAACACCTTCTCCAAGCAGCAAGTTCACCTGGAAGGTGTTTAAAGGGACTGTGATCCCTTAAAAAAACCCTTTAACTTAAACTATCTGGTGGTCCTGAAAAATCACGAATATTTTTGGAATGTTTGGGGCTTAGCCATTTTGGATAGTCGAGATTCAGCCCCAATCTATATCCAGCTGGAAGAATATCTGGAAAATACCAATAAATTACTTTTTGGATATTTTTTCAGCTCAGATTTAGCCAGATGCACACCCCTAGTGGCTGAGACAAGATTTGAACCGGCAACCTCTTTTCAGTAAAAGACAGTGAAATGTCTGATTCTGGGAGCTGTAACTTAACAGTGGTTAAGACGCTGAACTGCAGGCTGTGGAAGGTCAGTAGTTCAGCAGTTCGAGACCCGAGTTGCCACATGACGGAGTGAGCTCCCGTCTCTAGTTCCAGCTCCCGCCAACCTAGCAGTTCGAAAGCAAGAAATTTAAATCGTTACAT